TTTGCTTTATTTTGAGTTAACTTTGTAAATGGAGTGAGGTAGGGGTCCAATTTCGTTGTTCTACATGTGTTTATCCAGTTCTCCTGACACAATTTATTGAAGGGACTATCCTTTCCCCATTTGGTGCTCTTGGATCCCTTGTCAAAAATTAGTTGACCATATTAGCAGAGGTTTAATTCTAGGATCTGTATTCTGTTCCATTGGTCTAGATGCCTATTTTTGTGCCAGTATCATACTGTTTTTAATACTGAAGTTTCGTAGCATAGTTTGAAATCAGACAAGGGTTGTCTTTCCATTTATTTGTGTCTTCTTCAATTTCCTTCAGCATCACCTTATAGTTTTCAATGCACAAAACTTCTACTTCTTTGGGGGTTGTCTTTCCATTTATTTGTGTCTTCTTCAATTTCCTTCAGCATCACCTTATAGTTTTCAATGTACAAAACTTCTACTTCCTTGGTTAGTCTTATTCTTAAGTGTTTTATTGTCTTTCATGCTATTGTGAATGGGATTGTTTTATTTCTTTTTTGGAAGTTTCATCCTTAATGTATAGAATGCAACTGATTTCTGTATGTTGATTTTGTATCCTGCAAACTATACTGAAATCATTGACTAGTTCAAACTATTTTGGGGTTGAGTCTTTGGGATTAGTCTATATATAGAATCATATTATCTGCAAATAGCAACAGTTTAACCTCTTCCTTCCTGATTTGGATGTGCTTGATTTCCTTGTTTGGCCTCATTGCGCTAGCTTGGACTTCCAGCACAACACTGAACGGGTGAGTAGGCACCCATGTCTTTTTCCCAATCTTATAGCTCACACCATGCTGCAGGTCTGATTGTGTTTATAATCTTGGAACAAAAAGGCTCTTCAAATACATCAAATTTAAATTTCTGTGTATCCAAAATAGAGCTGGAAGAGCATTAAACATTAGGAGAAAAGATTTTGCAGCACACATAAGAGAGTGAGAGCGCACTAATGTCATTAAATATTTTTTAAAAGGCTCTGCAATTCAATTTACAATGCCCACTCAAATAGGAAAAAAATGGGAAAACTATAGGAACAGGTAATTTTCAAAAGAGTAAATAGAAAATGTTACAAATAAGGCTAGGAGTAGGGGTAAAGTGTGGTCTTGTGCCCAGATACATTTCAGAAATACTGGATTAAGTAAAATTAAACCATTTTCCTTACTGCGTTGCAGTGAGATTTCTCAGGACCTTTCATATGTGGATATCCACTGTGACTTTACAAATGGGGCCTCTCCAAGCCTTGCGTAACCACAGAGCTTTTCTCTGTGCAGCTTCCAACAGGACAGAGGCTCCACAGAACATACATGATGATATGCTGCCTTAACTCATTTGCTCCTTCAGTAGCCCTTGAACTCTTCCCACTGAATGAAATTACGTAATCTAATACAGCTGACCTCTGTTAATTAAGTTCCTTATGCCACCACAACGCCACTGCTTCTCACAGAGTGTTGGGTCCAAAACTAGATGTTGAATGCCCTAACAAAGAGGGAAGTGGAGACTGGAGAAGCAAAGGCAGTTGCTAAATTGTTGTCCAAGCCCCTTGTACTTCAGAATTTTGGATTCAGACCCTGAGGGATCAATTTATTTTTTATTTTATTTTTTAGCTTTACTATGTTTTATTCATTTTTAGATTTATATTTTATTTTTTTACCTTTAGTGTGTTTATTTATTTATTTTGAAATTTAAATATACATTTTTTCCCATCACCGTATATCCCCCTTCCACCTTCACCCGACCTCCTTCCCCCGCAATCACCACACTGTTGTCCATGTCCATGAGTTCTTCTCTTTTTTTTTTACTCAGTCCCTCCCAGCCTCCAGCATCCCCAAGAGCTGTCAGCCTGCTTTCTATCTATGAGTCTGTCTTGATTTTCCTTATTCAGTTTGTTCATTAGATTCTACATGAGCAAAATAATATGGTGATTATCTTTTTAAATGACATAATCACTGGCCTAATACATTTACTTTGATAAATTGATTGTAATGTCCTCATTTCCAGAGTCATTTGCCCTAACTCAGCAGCCCCGCTGAGCCTCTATGTCAGCTCTGCAGAAGCCAGGTGAGAGGTTGCAGGCCTCTCCCCATCCTCTGTTCTGGGTGTGCCTGGCACAGACCTGGCTCTTCCTGGGCAGGTCCCTTGAGCGCCATGAGCGAGTAGAATTAAGGAGCCGGAGCATCTTCTTTTCATTCCAGTCCAGAATTGCCCAACCTCTGCCTCCAACCAAAGCTGATAAAATGCCAGCTGCAGCTCCTTCCTCTGGGGCCATCACAAATGTGTGACAGAGCTGATCCTGTGTGACATCACAGTAAGCATGGGGTTAGGGAAGAAGCAGGGGGCACAGGGCATCCTGGCTGAGCCGAGTCTGCAGGGAGGACCAAAGGGACATCACTGCAGCAGACTTTTGTCTGTACGCCCCCTTTCACCTGTGACTCTGAGCTTCCCAAAGAGCGCGTAATCTGCCGTCTGCTTTGGCATTAGAGAGCTTTGGGTCTTTGGGCAAGTGTCCAGTCTCTGGAACCAGATCTCAAAGCCTGCTATGGCTTGCTAGGAGACTTGGATGTTAGTGTGAGGTGAATGGGGAGAGTGGTGGAATGAAAGCAGGTCATATAGTCACATGTGCATTAAAAGATTGTTCTGGGGATAACATGGAGATTATTTTAGGATGAAACAAAAAGAGAACATCACATAGGAAGTGGCTCCAATAATACAGATGAAAGATGGTGGTGGCCTGGAGTGGGAACAGGGTGGTTTAAACAAAAGACATTTCCTAGTTCTGGAGGCTGGCAAGTCCAAGATCAAGGTGCTGACAAGGTTGGGTTCCTTCTGAGAGCCATGGTGGAGGGATGGGCTCCAGGCTCCTCCCTTTGGCAGGCAGAAGGCCACCTCCTGCTGCCTCTGTACACGGTCGCCTCTGCGCATGCACACGCCTGGTGGCTCTGCCTCTTCTGCGGACACAAGTCATATTGAATCAAGGCTCTGGCCTGAGGGTCTCATGTTAACCAAATCACATTTTTAAAGACACTATCTCCAAAAATGGTCACATTCTGAGGTACTAGGGGTTGGGACTTCAACCTATAAATTTTAAGGGAGACCCAATGCAGCCCGAAATAGTAAAGTTATGGGGAAACAGATGTAATTAAGAGATATTAAGAGGGTGAATATAGAAATATTGTGATTGATGAGCTATACGGTATGAGTAGGCAGATCTACTGCATATCCCAAACACTGCATGGGGTATACATGTACTAAAAATAGTAGTTCTTGACCTGAAATTCATATGTAACTGGGCATCCTGTATATTTATTTGCTAAATCTGGCAATCTTAATCTTCACTGAACAAGCTTCCTAGTCTGACACCAAAGCTACAGCACTGCTGGCCAGGCTGTTGGTAAATAAAGTCACCACAATAATGCTACCCTGGGGGCCTCTGCACCATCAGCCAAGCAGCAGTCCTGGGCAGCCAATGTCATTGCGTGTCCACTTTTCTCTTTGAATTTCTACAGATTCCTTATAGAGCTTCTCTCCACACCCAGGCCCCCATGTTTGCCCATTTCCAAAGGGAGCCATTCCCATTGTAATCTGCAGGAATGGCACCCTCTGGGGTTGTGGCTGGGCATGGTGGCCTTGTCCCCACCCACCCTCCCCTCCACCAGCTCAGGCATGGTGCAGTCCATTGTTATTGTGAGGAAGCTTCGTGAAGAAATGCTGGGCAGTGAATGAATATTTCACAAGCAATAGGGCCCAAGTCGTGTTCATAGGAGGGATGTAGACCCAGCAGGAAATGGGCCTTCCTAGAGTTTGGCTGTGATTTTGTTCAGATGCTTTTCTAGAACAGGAGCAGCAGTTCAGAGTGGCTGTGCCTGTCCCCACATCCTGAATGGTCAGCTTAGCTGTCAGCCTGCATCCTCCCAATCTGACCCCGGCTTCCCTTCCCCTCCCCACCCCAAGAACCAACGGAGCGTGAGCAAAGGAGAAGCTGCAGGCATTTAGTGGAGGTGGTAGCAGGGCCAGAGGAGGGAGAGAACTGAGTCCTAAGGAAGTTCAGAGGGAAAGCCCTGAGCTTCCTGGTCACAGGGCTAGGTCAGGTGACCTGATGTGCTTTGGGATCTTTACCCACATGCCATTAACGAAAGGCTTAGCCTTTGTCAGGGCCAGGATATTCTGTTTGAGAGGGCAGGCGGGGTATTACTTAGGACAGGTGCAGATAGCACTGTACATGGCCACACAACAGGTACCCCACCCCTTTTAGTGGACACCCAGGTGCTGAGGAGCCACTGCAGGGAGGGGCCATGGTGAGGGGACAGTGACTGGAGCCACACCCTTGGTGTAGCCACACCCACGTCACGTGATCTCGTTTTGAGCTTCATAACTTGTGAACATTATCCCTTTTCTGTCACTGAGGAACCCCAGAAAGCAAGGCTGCTGAGGGGGGTACCCACAACGGGCTGGACATGGCCCTTTGGGAACTGGAAGGAGCACGTGACTCGCTTCTCACCATTGGGCCTGCCCAGGGGCCAGGAAGGCCATCCTGAAGTTGTCCTCAGGTCTGCCCGTGTCAGTACGCTGCGCAGGTGAGATAAACCGGAAGGTCCAAATCCATGACTGCGGACCAGACCCGCTGATGTAAGGGGAAGCCATGGGCCAAGCATTTACATCTGTGAGTCTGATCTCGTCATCTTTAGAAATGGTCAGGGGCTTCTCTGGAGACTTGGGGGTCCTGTGGAATAACCCCAGAAAATGGTGGGAGCAGGATTGTCCCCTGCTGGGCTGGACAGGAAGGAAGGCGGGAGCCTCAGAACCCAGCCTGTGAGGTCCGTGTCAGCAGCCCCAGGTCAGAGGCAGCTGCACCCCCTCAGGCATTAGTGCTGGGAGAAGCCTTCAGGCCTCCTGAGCTTCTCCCCATCCTCCAGCATCCAGCCTGGCAGCAGCTCCTTGCGCAGGCCTGAGGCACACACTCCCAGAGGACTGCTGACATGACAGGTTGGTAAAAGAGGAGGCATTTGAGCCTTAAAATAGGCTGCTTGTGACAGGGGCCAAAAGCAAAGTGCCCACCAAGGACTTGGTGAAGGGCAGACTGTGCCCAGGTCAGTGGGAAGGGAACCGTCCACCAGACGGCTTCAAGGACGTGGCCTCTCTGCACAACCATAGTAGAAGCGAATGGCAAGCAGAGAAGCCCGCCTGGCCTGAGTTCCCAAACACACAGTCCATTGTGACATCATCCGCGGGGTGGCTCTAAGAGGGGCTTTGACAGTGCCATTCCCCTCAGCCCTGGCCTCTGTCACCTCTTCGGCCAACGGCGAAGCCAAGGCCATGCTCCTGCTCTCAGTTTTGCTGCTCCTGTCCCAAGCCAAGGGTGCACATCCCGGTACGTTGTCCCTTCCCCCAGCGGCCAGAGCAGCTCTCCCAGGCCGGGGGGCGGGGGGGGGGGGGGGGGGGCAGGGGGGGCGGGACTTGAGAGTGGCCCCGCTCGGGTTCCCTTCACCCAGTCAGTGAGAATTAGAGACCAAAGGAGAGAGTCAGTTAGCGAGCTCATTAATTAACTCATTGGCCTCCGGGAGGCTGGCTCAATGAATATCAGTGAGTGTCTCCTCTCCTGGGAGCTGGGTGGGGACTCTTTCTGGAGGGCAGAGTTCTCTTTTTGGCACAGACAACAGCAGCCTTCACTCTCAGCCTCCCAGGAAATGGAGCTCCTCTGCCTGGACCAGAATGTTCTAGAACAGTTCAGGGCTTTCAGAAGGTTCCGGCCCTTTCTGGGGACCACTGTGTTTTCCCTCATGTGCTCGTTTCCCGTGACTGCTATAACCAACTACCACAAATGTCGTGGCTAAAATTACACAAATTTCTTGCCTTACAGTTAGTTCTGTTGGATACAAATCCAACCTGGGTCTCCTGGGGCCAAGATCAAGGTGTCAGCAGGACCGCATTCCTGTCCAAGGCTCTTGGGAAGAATCTTTGCCTTGCCTTTTATAGCTTCTAGACAGGGCTAGAGGTCACCCATATTCCTCAGCTTGTGGCTCCTTCTTCCGTCTGCAGAGCCGGTGGTGGTGTGCCTCTCTGCGCTTTTTTCCCCTAGTCACAGCGCTCTCCTTCTGCCTCCCGCACTCCCGTTAAGGACCCTCAGGATTACATTGGGCCCACCCAGATTATTCAGGATAATCTGCCCACTCTAAAGTCAGCTCATTAGCAACTCTAATTCCATCTCCAAAATCTCCTTTGCATTATAAGGCAATACCTATTAAGACTTGGTCCATTAGGAAACGGATATCTTTGGGGGAGTGTTATTCTGCCTACCACTCCAGAGTTGGTGTTGGACAAACATTCTCCTTCGATTTCTCTCAGATGACAGCAGAAACAAGCTCAGTGAAGTGACTTGTCTGAAATCACTATGCTGGAGAGGGACGTAGTCAACACTTCTGACCCATGTCCCATGCTCTGTGTGACAGAAATAAAGCATCTGTTGGCTTAGTCGTGCACCTGGGGCCCTTCCCTGGACCAGGCTTAGTTTTTTTATGTGTAGAATGGGCATAAGGATGGCTACTTAGAAGCCTCTAATGGATACTAAGTATTGCATCCTTTCCCTCCCCTCCTCTTCCATTCCACCAGAATGTGGGGAAAGACCCATTTTCGAGGCAGGACCTCAGTATTCCAGAATCACAGAGGGGATGGAGGCTGAGGTGGGTGAGTTCCCGTGGCTGGTGAGTATTCAGGCAGGAAACGAACACTTTTGTGGCGGCACGATCATCGACGAGTGGTGGATTGTGACTGCTGCTCACTGCTTATATAGTGGGGACCTAGAGTAAGTATCGCGAGCCCGTCTCTGTTGCTTCTGACACCATCCATCCCAGGCACCCCCACACTCAAACCAGGCCTGATTGCTAAGGGGAATCCTTGGGCTTGTCAGTCCCGAGCTGGGCACGGTGGCCCCAGGGATGAGCAGGCAGTGAACCCAAGGCTGGCACTCCACTGTGCCCTCCTCATGGTCACCCAGGGCCAATGACTACGGCTTCCCTGAGATCACCCACTGTCCTCTCCAGGAATATCTGTGGCCTGTGGAGCTAAAGGGCTTGGTCCATGCACCCCTCCTAGGACACGCAAGTCCTTCTAGGAGGAAATTTTCCTAATCCTGAAAGTCTGGGTTTCCAGGCCATCTGACACCCTATTTCCCTGCTCCTTGTAGAGTGTTCTCTGTGCTCCAGGAGCCCCGTGGAAAATCTAGCATTTACTGATTACTAGTCATGTCCCAGTGACCTCCTAAGCAACTGCCTGCACTATTTAATCATGTAACAATCCTGAGGCAGGGAGAATGAAAACCATCCTTTATAGAGAAGGAAACAGAGGTCCAACAAGGTTGGGCGACTCACCCAAGGTACACACCCAGTAGACAGAAAGAGGATTTAAATCTGGACCCCAGCTCTTGGGCTTTCTGCTACCCCTGCTACACCACCTCAAGAAAGGTTAAAGATATGCAGCAAAATGGAGGTTACAGAGGAAATCAAATACCCAGGGGCAGTTTCACCTTGGCATAACCAGGCGACCTCATTGCTCCTGCGCCCATGGCTCTTGGGAAGTTCTTGGCCATTCTGCTTGGAGGGGATTCCTGAATTAATACTGAAGATTCTTTCTGTTTAATCAGGGACATGTCTAGATTAAATTTTGTTCTGGGGTCTTTAAGTTGCTGGTAGACAAATTGGTATGATAATATCTTACCTAACGAGGGCTAGTTTGATTGGTGCCAAGAGGTTTTCTGTGGGCTCTTTGGAGCACCCAAGGCTAAGTTCTGCCTTTGCACCAGCAGGCAGGGGTACCTCCTTCTGGTTTCAGGGATGGAGCTGGGCAGCAGCATCGTCCTCCTTTTCTACATTTATAACATTCTCCCATTCTCTTAGCAACAGCCCCAGTAGAACAAGTCATAAAGGCCCTAGAACTCTGTGGAAGTAGGTTTTAGGGGGCACAGCAACTTCTTTCCCCTCCTATCTTCCCCTCTCTTGTTCTATGCCCTCAGACCGAAAGACCTGAGTGTTGTGCTGGGAACCAGCGACTTACAGAGCCCATCCCTGGAAATAAAGGGGGTCACCAGCATAGTTCTTCACAAGGACTTTGAACGATCCAACATGAACAATGACATCGCCTTGCTGTTGTTGAACTCACAGATCACGTTCAATGACCTAAAAAAACCCATCTGCATGCCCAGGCAGCCTAGCCCCTCCACGTGGAGTGAATGTTGGGTGGCAGGATGGGGACAGACCGAACCTGGTACGTGACCACACAGCATCTTCTGAGAGCTCCTGGGGAGCTGCCACATCACAGGCATCTGAGGAGGAGCCGTTCAATCTAAAGGAGATGGGAGGGTGAAAAGGAGAAAGGGCTGAGGAACAAGGGCTAGGAGAAGACTTGCATTGGAGCAAACCCTGCTGGGCTGGGGCCACAGAGGCCCAGTCTCGGAGTCAGAGGGCCGAGGAAGCATCTCCCCAGGGCTCCAAGCTGAGAGGCCAGGTCTCTGACAGCCCCCGAGTGTGGTCCTTCCAGCCAGCATGGAGCAGTCTTATTTGTTCGTTTCATTGAATTTAAACTCTCCCTTTTGCCAGGAGCCCATCTACTCTCTAGTCTTTCACATCTCCTTTGATTCACACACTGACGTGTCCCACCTGGTTTCTACAGGCATTCAGGATGCTTGCCCTGGCCTGGACGTTGGGTGGCCCTGGAGTGCTGCCCAGCAGCTCCTAGAAATGAATCTGTTGTTACTTGTTACCTGTTGTTACATTGTTACTTGGCCAAATAGGAGGAACTGTACCAGAGCAGAAAGGGATTATGAAAGCCTTCCTGGACTGTCCCCAAGAAAACTCAACAAAAACAAGAGCAAATAGGTGGGGGGTGGAAATGGGCCAGCATAGTCTCAGACCTGAAAGAGACTCTAGGTCTGTAGGGATGCTTGGCAATGAGCTGGGGTCTGGAAAACAGTAGGTATTTCAGGACTTCTGTAGCCAGAGAGCAACTGGTGTCTGATCAATGGGGACCCCAGGCACTACTCAAAAGTTGGAAGCAGAGGAGGAGGCCTTCAAGATTAAAAATACTCAATGAGGAAGAGGTTTTGAAATGCCTGTGTGGTCAGAGGTAATAAGAAGGAAAGAAATCCTGGAAGCTGCCTGGAAAGGGCCTTGGCAAATCCCCTGGAAAGCCTTGCAGCCAACCTCCCCTCGCCTGGAGGACCTGAACACTTTCTCCCTGAAAGCATGTCAGGGACAGGCTGTACTCTCGAACTAAAATGTGGCAATAGGCAGCTATGATGAAGAGGCAGGATTATGCTGAGAAAGGACCCATAGCCTCTTCCAAGAGGTGAAGTCTGTAGGGCTGGGTGGAGTCAAGTGGGATGTCTTCTTGGAAGCAGAGATAAGATTTCAAATGAGAGGATTAATTGTTTGGAAAAACCTGGGCTGGTAGAGTGAGTACACTGCGTGGGATCTCCGGAAGGAAGGAGAGAGTGAGGGGCTGGGGGGGTGTGAAGGGAGGCAGACGAATTCCTGGTGGGATGCAGGGATGCTCAGGGTGGTTTAGTGCCTAGTCGTTGCATTATTGACAAGGACAATGCTCTCCGGTGACTTTCCTAATGTGCGTTCTCTGTGGGCCAGATGACAAAAACTCAATGGGAAGTGACCTGATGAAGGTGCCAATGATCATCATGGATTGGCAGAACTGTTCCAAGGTGTTTCCAAACCTTACCAAAAACATGCTGTGTGCTGGATATGAGAATGAGAACTACGATGCTTGCCAGGTAACTAGGGGATCTCTCCTCCCTCACTCTGTGGGCCCCCCCGCCCCAGGGCTGCCAGGGCAAGGCTATCCTCTCCCCACTGGGAATAAACAAGGAGTCTGGAAAGCATGTGGGAATCAGGGCGTGGCTGTGGGGACGGGACGTGGAGTGGGGTGCTCCTTGCCAGGCCCTCAGGGTATCGCTGTGCGCTTGGGAGTCAGTCCGCACAACCCTGCATACGTATCTGCGGTCTTCTCCAGGCACACTAGATAAATAGGGCTCCAGGGCTTTTTCCATTACTGGGACCTCTTAAACAAAAAGCCAAGAGGGATATGAGACCCATACAAGGAATCATTTCTACTCACTCATTTAGTAGTCTTCACTGGGCACAGCAAGCCCGGAGATTCAGCCGTGATTGACACGGGGTTTCTCACCTCTGGGAGCCCTCAGTCACCTGGGTAGGCTGCCAGGTAAACAGCTATAACACCTGGGGCGATGCATGTGGGTTTTGTCGAACCAAAGTCTGATAGCTTAGCATCTCTTTAATAAAATGAACACAAACATCGAAAAAGAAAACCATGTTTTGATTGATGCTAGGAAAAAATAGGGGGAAAAGAAAACCCCTTCAGCAATTAGCTTCCTCTGGCTCTAAGGATGAACGATGGGGTTTATCTTCAAAGCTCCAAGATGCTTTCTTCACCTTGGGAGGGGTCACCCTGATGAGCCCACTTAGTCCTTCCCGTTGGCTGGATGGTGGACCTGGTGGTTGGTGTAAAACTGTAAATGTGGGTGTTCACCGTTGTGTAGGGCAATGAAAAAGCTCTGTCATGGGAAGGAGAGTATCTACCCCGTTTAATGTTAGGAGATTGTAGTTTTCCCTGGCAGCCCATGAGATGCGGCCTGGGGAGAGAATCGTGGGGCAGGGGGGATGGAGGGAGAGGAGAGCGGAGAAGGGCTCTGAGAAGAAAGAGTGGGCTTCGGCGGTAGAGGCACCAGGTTTAGAAGGAGTCCCCCCCATGGTGAATGCTGTGAGGACCAAAAAGGAAGGTAGAACCGATGTCTTAGGAACCTTGTATTTTTCTCACATTCTGGACAATTTAAACATTGCAAAACAGAAAGAATTGGGATTTCTCGTTCTGGACAAGATGGAGTAGACACATTTCTGACACTCTCTCCCACTAAGAACAGCTAAAGCACTGGACCTTATATTGTAAAACGAAAATAAAGTCCCTGAATTAGGTGGCGAGAAGATGGACTGACTGGATATCTAATGTTTAATGAATGACAGAGCAGGAGTTCCTTGGGTTTTCTTTTTGCCTTTTATATGTATCAGGCTGGATGCCAGAGAAGCCCGCAACCCAGAAATGCCAATGGGCACAGGCAGAATATAACCGGAACAAAATGTAAACAAGAACACTGCTCTCTGGACCAGGGAAGGGGCAGCTGGCAAGGCAAAAATTTTTTGACAATAAACATCCTGTTCCAGCAAAATACCAGGAAAACCTCACGAACCCCGCCCCCCGCCACCCACCAAGGTCAAGGGGGCAGCCTTGACTTCCCCCTGGTGCCATGGTGGTGTCAGAGCAGGCTGAGTGGAGGGCAGGACTTGGACCAAACTGCAGCCGTGACGAGCCTCCCTCTGCCTCGCCTGGTGTCCGGGGAGCCCCCTGAGGAGCTTGGGCTTCCACGGTGCTCGGGTGTCCCTGGGCCCTCCTGCCCCTCCCCCTGGCGTCATCCCTGGCCTGAGTGGGTAGTCTGGGCTTCCACCCCAACCCAATGGTGGACTTAGCACCCCTCTGCCCCCACTCCAGTTGCACAAGAGGCCTGTTAAAACAGATTTAAGTGAGAACCAGAGCCTTGTAACCTAACACTTAAGGCAATGCTCAAGTTAGGGTCTGCCATAACTGGAATAGAGAGTTGCACTAATGTATGTGGATTTGATTTATTGAGGCATAAGATAAGGAAGAGTTCTTTTTTTAAAAAGAAGTTGAGAACCATTAATGCCTAGAATAAGTTCAATTAAAACTTAACTCAAAACGGATCATACACTTAAATGCAAAACTATAAAAACTCTTAGGAAAAAAAACAAAACAAAAAACAAAATCTTTTGGACATAGAGTGATACCAAAAACTCACAAAAGGAAAAATTGACAAACTGGACCTCATCAAAGTCAAAATTTTTTCTCTGTGAAAGACCCTATTAAGAGGATGAAAAGACAAGCTACAGATTGGGAGATAATACCCACAAAGGAATTATACTTAGAATACATAATGAACTTTCAAACTCAACAGTAGAAAAACAAACTATGCAATTACAAAATGGGCAAAAGACATTGTACTTATTTGCCATCCTGATGGCAAATAAGAACATGAAAAGATGTTTGATGTGTTTGGCCATTAAGCAAATGCAAGTTAAAACAACAATGAGACATCACTACACACCTCTCAGAATGGCTGAAAAAAAAAATAAACGACACCAAATGCTGACAAGGATGCTGAGAAACTGGGTACACAGCGGCTGGTGGGGCTTTAAAATAGCTCAACCGCTCTGGAAAACAGTTCGCCGCTTTCTTGAAAACCTGTACATGCTCTGGGCATATAACAAGCAAATGCTATTCTTAGGCATTTATTTCAGAGAAATGAAGGGTTGTGTTCACACCAAAACCTGTACAGGTGTGTTTATAGCAGCTTTATTCACAATACCCCAAGAGTGGAAACAAATGTCCTTCAAGGTGTGGATGGTTAAATAATCTGGTAGATCCACATCGCCTGCCACCACTCAGCTATGATAAGAAACAACTGTTGATGCAACAGCATGGATGGATCTCCGGAGACTTATGCTCTGTGAAAGAAACCGATCCCCAAAGGTCCCACCCTGCCTGATTCCATTTACATAATATTCTTGAAATGACGAAATTATAGGCGTGGAGAACAGATTAGCAGTTGCCGCAGCGGTTTAAGGAAGGGCTGGGGTGGGAGGGAAGTGGGCTTTGCATAGAAAGGGCAGCATGGGGGTCCCCGCGGTGATGGGGGTGTTCCACATTTGACTGTATCAATGTCTATATCCTGGTTGTGCTATTGTACTACAGGCTTGCATGATATCGTTCTTGGGGAAAACATGAAAAGGGTACCTGGAATCTCTGTATCATTTCTTACAAGTGCATATGAGTCTACAATTACATCCAAAATAAAAAACAAAGAGAAAACAAAGCTTCCCAGACACAGCAGTTGAAGGAAGATCTCAGATCATAGCCTTGCGATAGATAGGCCAGGGGAGCAACCCGCTCAAGTTGGATAGTCAAGGTTTTTTTGCATCACAAAAGACAAGGGGAACCAGCATTGCCTACAGTGTGGCTAGAAAGAGAGAATTCTGGAGGGAATGTGAGGGAAATCGCAGAGGCTCGAAACAGCATCATGTGTTCAGGGAAGTTCCAATATTTCAGAAGCCAGAGGTGACAAGAGATGAGTGTGGAGCGGTGAACAGGGAAGTAACCCAGGTTGTCCCAGTGCCCCTCCGGCTGCTCACCCGAGAATAGGAGGGTCAGGCCCCACCCGCACTCCCCGGCTCTCCTTTCAATCTCTGTGAGTCGGAGCCATCCCATAGTCAAATGGCCAAACCAACTGTGGCAGAATTTAAAATAATCAAGTGCCGCGTTTGGTGACATTTTCTGTACCTTCTGCTTCGATGGCTGGAGCTACAGCTACCCTCTGGAGTCTCGGATTTTTGTTTCAATCTCTCCCCTGTACTTTAATGAAAGCTTCCAAAACGAATCCTCTATCACTTAAGAGTGTTATAAATAAATGTGCTGTTTTGGCTTAAGCCTTTTTTTTAAGTTGTGAGATGGAAAGTTTTGCTCTCTGTTTAGAAAGCTTCCTGGTGTCAACAATAAGCTGACAGTGATCCCGTCAAGGAAATTTTTCGGAAATTATTCAATATTATCATCACCTAAAGACAAAGGAACCAAGCAGAAAGTCTCCCAGGGTTTAAAAGTAATTGCCCTTAAAAATAAAATCACACTTTCAAATTTAGCCAGCTTTAAAAATGCATGAATCACATAATTAAGGAAAATGATCATTTTATAATGATGACATTTAAATATGTTCAAAGTAATGACAGTGAGATTATGCTAGGCTTAAAATACAAATTAAAAGTAAATGCAAAAATGAAAAATAGTTGAGTGTTTTGGTTTACTTTTCCCAGAACTTTTCTTCTTTGTAACCCCCCTGACTAAGGTTACACTATGAAAAGTTCAGTTTTAAAAACAATCCTGTTTAAGTGGTGTAGTCAAGCAAACTGTAAAATCAAACATACCCCGCCCCGCCCCCCGCCTCCAGCTGGTAATGCGATACTTTGGCAAAGGACTAGCAACCTTCTGGAACAACAGTCAATACAATGGACCACACTGTCTGCTATTTGTCTCCCCAACCCCTGTATAAATGTTGTCTTATCCATGTGTGAATTCCCAGCGTCTGGTACAGTGCTCCACACATTAAAAGTGCTCAACAAAAGTTCGTCAAATACCTGAAACCTCCAAGGAAGCCAGTAGCTCTCTGTCAGCAACCTAGCCCCAGTGGGGGCACACCCGAGAGAGGTCCTGAAGGAGGCTGAAATCTGCAGGGAGAGGGGGGATATGAAGTGGCGGCCAACCCACCTGTTGGGCAGTTTGGTTATGGGGTTATCAAGCTGAGTTGGACTTAGACTTACACTACTTTTCCTAAAGACTGTGTTTTTAGGGCAGTTTTGGTTCACAGCAAAACTGAGAGGGACAGAGATTTCCGATATCTGTCCTGCCCCCACGCATGCACAGCCTCCCCCACTACCAACATCCCCGCCAGCGTGGTTCCCTGTGTTGCAGTTGGTGAACCTACATTGACACATCGCTATCACCCAAGGTCCCCAGTTTACATTAGGGTCAGTCTGGCCATTCTTTGAGTTTGGACAAATGTATAATGGCATGTACCCATCATCAATTACAATGCCGTAAAGTGGAAATTTCACTGTCCTGAGCTACTCTCCAGGGTGTTGTCTTGAGTGCATCGCCCACGACACTTGCATGAAAGTCTTACTTCACTCTGCAGATTCTGACACTTTTAGAATCACAGACGTTTAGAACTGAAAAGGGATGTAGAAAAATATTTAATCAAAACTCTGTTTCACAGATGAGAAAACATGGTTATTTTAGTCATCAATCATTTCCTTCACTATCTGAATGGATCTGAAGCAGTGTGATAACTTCATAGCTCTTTCACGCATATTCAATAATTTCATTTTCTCCACTATCCTGCAAGGTTGGCTGGGTAGATGGGTCTCACTCTCCCTGTATAAACAGATGAGAAAACAGGGACTTAGAATTTAAGTGATTCCCCCTCAGTCCAGGGAGGGGTAGGCTCAGGCTGGAAGCCAGGTCGTCTGCTTCTGTCCAACGGACCCCCCGCCCCCCACACCACCCGCCGCCAAAACAAAACAGGAGTGGCCACATGGGGTAATTATCTCACAGCGGTGAACTTGGGAGGCTCTTGTGGTCAGTGTGTTACTAACCAGACAGGTCCTTGACTACCAGCATTAGTTCTCCGTGGGAAAGTTTTCCTTGGGTGGGCCCTCATCAGTACTTACTGGCTGAGACTAGTTCCTCCCCTTTGGGACAATCTGTGCTTTCTTTAAGAGGAAGAGGAAAAATGTAAAGGCTTTGGGCATAAAAGGACATGCACTTATGGACGTCCCTCTTGGGTCTCAACAGTCTACGAAGGGAATCTCTGTTTCCTAAATGCACAACTACTGTTTGTTATACGTAAGGGTAAAATAATAATACTAATACATTTCTGGAGCATTTACTATATAGCATTTACTCCATGCTGAGTGATTTATAGATTTTTAGAATTTCATCTGTCAACCATCTTGGGAAGTAGTTGGTGTTATCTCTATTTTAATGACATAGAAATTGAGGCTTATAAAAGATTATTTGACCAAGGACAGCTCTCTCCTTGTTATGTTAGGAAATAAATAGTCAAGTCAACATATTAATAAAAATTTTCTAACACTCATGCCTTCATGAAATAGAAGGAAATTATAAAAACCTCAATTATGGAAGGAGCTATTTGAGCAGAAATCCTGTTGATTTGGTTCCTGTCCTATGACTTTGAAACAGAACTAGTGCAGAGCAAAGCACCTACCCACAAAAAACAGACAAGGGTTAGAGGCAATGCTTTGTATAGGAGAGGGTAATTTTGGTTTTGGCCCATGCTTACTGGGTGTCCTTGAACTCTGACCTCTCTGTCAGTTCTACTCTGTTTAACCCTCTATTTGGTGATGTGTTTGTTTCTCAATTAACACAAACTCCACTTGAACACAACTTCTTTATCTTCCCCTGCACTTTTAATCTCTCTTCACCACACTCCACGACCTTGGGACTAGTCATCACCATCCATGTCCCATGTCACCAGTTGTCACATCGTGTGAGTTTCAATCCATCCCTCTCCATCCTGACCTTCAGACCCTCATCATTTCCCCTTGTCTTAACCAGTCTCTCTACCTTCTTTCTGACTCCTCTCTAAATGGTCCCACAAACTCTTTCTGTCAAATTAGTACTCATCCTTTAAATGAAATGCCTTGAAGTTTATTGCAACAGAGCTTTCCCTCGATTCCTCCCCCTCTCTGCCCTGCCTCTATCTTTGTTCATACTTCTCCTGCTTCATCAAACATAGTGACTCCTATTTGTTTACATTTTTATCCCCGCCCCCTGGCAACTAGACCATAAGGTCTTGTATCCCAATTGCCTGACAATTAGTTTCTCCTCAATGAAAATTTGTGAAATGGGGGTGATCGACCTCTTTCGACCTTCAATTTTTTCTAATTATGAAATGAGAATCAAAATACCTACCTCACAGAAGTATAAGATGATGGGGTTGATGAGGAAAAAAAATTGAGGGACTAACACATGCTTTGCGCATGTCCAGGAAATGTTGATCCTCCTCCTCCTCCCCTGTTAGAGTCCGTTACAATATTCAAGTCATTCCAGACACCTGTGTGTGACCTTGGGCGGGGCCATCTCTCCACTGGAGAAAGACTGCTTGAATGATTGTAGCTGCACCATGACTTTGGTGAGAAGTGAGTAAGAGGTGGAGAGAATGTATGCTTGTGCTTGGTGTCAGGAAGTCCTGGTTCCCACTCTGGCCTGGCTACTATGGACCCTGAGCAAGTCCTGAATCCCCTTAATGCATCATTCCCCTGTATGAAATGGATGAAAGGAAACCAGACCTGTGTGTGCTGCACAGTAGGGACTCGGTCCATATTTTCTATATAAATAATCATGTGAACCATAGCCCCATGTGATTCCACTCTGGAGGCGCATGCAAAGAGGAGAACTTAACTCACTCTCCCCTCCCCTCCGCAAACACCCCCACCAAAGAATTAAAAAGAAATATCATTCCCCCTCATGTCTCTCTGGATGACCATCCAATTCATATCCATAACCCTAACATCACTTCTTGTACTTGTTTCCACTTCCTTCCCTCTATAACCCTTGCTTTTATTCTTTGCTGCGCCATGTCTAATGTTTAATAAACAGCTACTATATTTTTAGCCAATAAATATATTGAGATAAATCATTGATTTTGAATAACACTTTATAATTTTTTCAAGTTTATTTTTTAATTTAAATATAGTTGGTATACAGTCTTATACTGGATATATTGGGTTCAGGTGTACAATACAGTGATTTGATATTTTTGTACCTTACAATATGATCGTCCCATTAATTCTAGCAGTCACAATGTAAATGTATCATAGCATGATTGACTATATTCCCTTCCCCTTTTCACCCATCCCCTACCCCTCCTTCTGATAAGCAACCCTTTGGTCTCTGTTTCTGAGTCTGGTTTTGTCTTGTTTTGTTTAGCTTGTTTTTTTGGGGGGGGGGGGTAGGGGGATTCCAGATCTTCTGACTTGCTAAGACCTACAGAACCAGTCCCCACTCTTCTCTCAGCCTGTGCATATTCATACCATCTCCTCGCTCCCTCTGCAGATGCAGTTACTTTTACGAGGCCCTTCCTCCTCCTCCTCCTGCTCCCCCTTCAGCCCTGTCCTGCCCACCCCCTGCAGCCCGCGGTTCCCGGGGCCGGCCTGGCAGCAGCACCCTCCCCCAAGGGCCTGGGATGGGGCAGGCGCTGGTCAGCAATGACAGACTTCCTCTGGCAGCCTGGCGTCGGGGAGGTCACTGGGTCCTCCTTCTTCAGTGACAGTTAATGGACAAATGGACAGTTCAGAATGGGACTTGCCACTGAACTGTGTTCTCTGCCCACAGGGTGACAGCGGGGGGCCTCTCGTCTGCACCACAGAATCTGACAAGAAGTGGTTCCAGGTGGGCATCGTCAGCTGGGGAAGGGGCTGTGGCATGAAGAACACTCCGGGAGTCTATACCTTGTTAGAAAATTATAGCCCCTGGATCAAGAAGGTGACTGAGGTGCAGGGAAGGCCCTATAATTCTCAGATAATGAGAGCTCCTTCCATGCAGAAACCAAAGGGGTCTCAGGCCCCAAAATTCCCAGAGCCAGGCGGCCCCAGGCTCTGGTTCCTGCTCTGCCTTCTGCCCTACATGCTGTTCCAAGCCATTTTCTACTGGTAATAAAGCAGGAGCTATTCCTTCACCAAGGGGGGTGTGCGAGGGTGCGCCACCGGTGGAGGAACTGGCTGCAGGCCGGAGCTGAGGGCCAGAAATGGAGCCTGTTAACACAATGGAATACTATTCAGCCATAAAGAATGAATAAAGCCTTACCCTTTGCGACAACATGGATGGACCTGGAGATTATTATGCTAAGGGAAATAAGCCAGTCAGAGGAAGACAAATACTATATGATTTCACTCCTATGTGGAATCTAATGAACAAAATAAACTGACACACAAAATAGAAAGGCATGGACATGTGGAACAGACTGACAGCTGTCACAGGGAGGGGGAAAGGAGAGACTGAATGAAAGAAAGCAAAGGGATCAAAGACCATCCTTGCACAACCTGGAGACACACGCAACAGTCTGGTGATGGCCGGAGGGAAGGGGGTGTGTGGGTAGAGGCAGGCGGGGGTGGAGGGGAACATGGGGGTTCTCTATAATAGTGTTGACAAAAAAATAAATAAAAACTAAAAAAAAAAAGAAGAAACTAGGACCAGAAAGTCAGGCGGCCTGGAGCCCTGGTTTGGGGATGGGCTTTGGGTCCCCGCAGGAGTCAGGACTCTCTCCACTGCAGGTGAGTGACTGTGCTCAAGCCAAGTAAAGTCCAAAAGAGTTGCTCGTAGGTGTACGTAACAGAAAAGCCAGGGGTGGTGTGTTGGCTTTAGTCGCTGCTGAATCTAGGGGCTCAGCAGATGCTGACAGGGACCATTTCTCAAGCAGCTCCCCTGTGGCGGCCATCGTGACCACCAGCACCTCCCATTGACGTCCTACCGGCCAAGCAGGCTCTGTGGAAACAGAGCCTCATTCCTGATAATTCCAGCACAAGTCTCTTGTCTAACTCTTGTGACTCATCAGCTTCGTAAATGACCCGAAAACTTCCACGTCTGCCCGGAAAGAAGGAGACCCATATCTCCTGGAACCAGGGGGCCACGATGGCAAAAGCTCACAGTCTCATCCCGCAACGGGCTGAACCAGTGTGTGAGCTGCACATGCAGACTTGCAGGCATCTACTGTTAAAGGCACTGATTGAGAAGGAACGAGATCCTGGCATGGGGATGACTGAGAAGACCTTGGTGGAGCCGGGGACATTGGGCCCGTGAATTTTGATGCGTCGTCTTCACCACGCGCAGCAGTCTCTCCACCCTCAGGTGAAGTGACCTCTTCACCCATCCAAGGGCATTCACCCTGCATGGCCTGAGGAAGGAGTACTGGCCTTTCCTAAGGCACCCGCCAAACAAGGCAATGCTGATTCTCCTCCGGGCCCAACCCACCACCCTCCCTGCTCCTATAACTGGACTCGAATCCCAGCAGACAAATCCCTAAAGGCGAAGTACAAAGTGTGACCCATGTCACTACACTCCTAAAGAACTACCTGAGTTTTCTAACTCATACGGATAGAAATCTGGGCAACACATGTGGGAATGGATATTAAGGGCGGGGATGATGGTGGCGGGAACATAAATTTGGTTCAGGTGAATTTCTTGATAGGGGCTCTGCCTCTAACGTTACATCTATGTTGCCTCTGCACTGCTGTTTGTGGAGTCAGGAGGGCCCCTAACAGTTTGGCTGGCTGGTTGGCTGACCCACGGGCCTGAAGGAGGCCCACAGAGAGTGAGTCAGAAGTGCTGGGCCCGCCTTGGGTTCACGTAGCGGAGGGGATTCAAAGGCTTCAGGGACTGGAATGTCAGAGTGGATTTCTCATCTGAGACCTGGCCTCCCACCCCGGGAAGGCACACCCGTGAGGGAATGAATCTGCGAGGGGAACCCGCGGCCAAGCGGAGCTCTGGGGTGGCTCTTCTCCGCAGGCCGGGCCTCGCAGTGGGAGCTGCAGGCGCCAAATGCCGGAACCTGCGTGCAACGGGGGTGATTGGATGTCGGGGGTGGCGGGGACAAGCGACAGCACTCCATCACCAAAGGCAAGGTGCGTGGGGTTCCTGAAGGGACAGAGAGTCCAGCAGCAATCAGAAGAGTCTGACACGGGCAGAGCCACCATGGTGTCAGCTCGCCGAGCATGGCGTTCCCAGGCCCGAAATGGAAAGGAGCCCTATGAATGTCTCGTTTGTTCCTTGTGAGCCGAAAAGTTCTAGGCCAAGGGAATAAAGTCTAGTCTGAATCATAAACGCAGGGAGTCGTGGTCCCTCAGTCCATTCTCAGACTTGAGCCAGTTTGCAGACCCGGCGCCCTTGAGTGAAAGGGAGACCGGTCCCCTTGATGAAGGAGTCGGGACACCACCCAATATTTACATTGTGAACCTTCCTCCAGCCTTCCCCAAAGGGACCTACGGCCTGTCCCCGGGGTAACTGCACTGGGGAAAAGGAAATAATCAGGCCTTTGGGGACCACTGGCCCCTGGCTCTGAGCTGACTCCGACTCCAGGACACCCAACGTCACCGTGGCCCAGCAGGCAGAGCAGGGGCTCACGGAGGTCAGGCGACCAACGGAGTGTTGGCTCCAGCCCCTCGCACAGTGCGCCCAGTGAGCCCCCAGCACCATCCTGTGGTGATTCCCCGGGTCTGGACTGTGTAACTGGAACAGACACGCCGAGCAGCTGGCAGATCCCCACACTGGTCCCCTGGCCTGTGGCACGAGGGATGTTCTGTGGGAAAGGCCAAGCGGAAGCCACTAGAACTGCCCCTACCTAGGACACCAGTGAGCCAAAGTGACGCCACGTTCCTGGTTCCAGGAAGGGCTGCAGGGAATAGCGCCCCCACCAGGATGCAGGTGTAGCGGTTCCCACCACATCCCCACCCATCTCTCCTCTCCGGCCTGGGCAGAAGGGTGGCAGGTCTGAGAAAGACAGAGGACCACTGTCTGCTTAAGCAGATGGTGGCCCGGCTGCAGCTCCTGTGCCAGAGGCGGTTCCAGGCTTGAGCAGGTGACCGTGCCCCCTGGTATTTGCTATGTAGCTGTTGACCTGGAAAAGGCCTTGGTCTCCACCTCTGTCCCTGGGGTCCACCGGAAGCAGTTACCTTTCAGCTGACAGGGCCAGCATTGCCACCTTCAGGGATCTACCTCAGGGGCCTCTCCACTCTCAGGCCTAGGTCAAGAGTTTAGTTTTCAGGAATCTTGGTCACCAGATCCCTTTCCCTTCTGCAAGATGCCATGCGGGTCCATGGCATTCATGCTGATTGGATCAATTAATCAAGAAGCAGCAACTACTCCAGGCTTATTGGTCAAATATTTGCATTCCAAAGGGTGGGAAACAAATATGGCAAATTTCAGGGTTCTTCTACTGTTAGGTGAAATTTCTAGGTCACCCCACCAGGTAAAGGACCATAACCCACCGAGGTGCTGGTGAGGGCAAAGGAAATGCAGAACAGGTAGCAGAAGAAGGTTATTACAAATACCAGCTATGATCATGTGACCAGTTACAAAAATAGGGACTGTAATTGTGTTTTTTCCTTATTTTGTTATGAGTGTTTACAATGTATATATTAAACAAAATCTTGGTTTTCTTTCTTCTTATGATATAACATAAGGTATGTTGACTTTACATCACAGTTTTTAAGTATTGTAACTTTGTATGGGACTTTATATGGAATAGTACTTGTTACAGGATACCAAAGAGAAGACTAAACGTCAGTCAAGGACATTGCATCTTCTTTTGGAGAAAGGGTGAGTGCATTTTTTATTGTACACAGGATCATTATATCACAATAGGTAGAAGTATGACCTTGTTATCACCTTTATTTGGAGGTCAAGTTGGCTTAAGATGTATATGGGTGGCAAGGGGTGAATTTGTGATGATTAATTTTATGTTTCAATGTGGAGGGTATTTTTAGATAAAATTAACATTTAAATTGTTAAACTTTGAGTAAGCAGATTTCCTTCCATACTGTGGGTGGGCATCATCCAATCAGTTGAAGTCCTGAATAGAACAGAAAGACCAGCCTCCCTGAGCAAGAAGACATTCCCCAGCAGACTGCCTCTGACTTTCACCTGCACCGCCAGCTCCCGGGGGCTCGAGGCTGCCGGCCCACACCACAGGCTTGGACTTGTCAGCCTCCATAATCACATGAGCCAATTCCTTATAAGAAATCTCTTTATGTATGTACACATACTTTCTATTGGTTCTGTTTCTCCAGAAACTCTGATGATTACAGTGAGGAGTGTCTTCAGAACAGCAAAGGCGCTGCTACAATAATGAGCTGGAGGCAGTGGTGCCATTTAACATCAAATTCACTATGCGATGCTTTGTCATGATATGGAAACTATGAGTTTAAACATTAGCCAGTTGATCCACTTATGATCAGTCATGCCAGGTGGTTCTCATGTATGTCCCATCAGAGTTTTAATACCTAGAGCTGCAGTTCCTAAACTGTGCACTGAGATGCCCCAGGGCACTGTGCACATTCAGGGGACACGATGGAGACACAGAGACATCTGTTGGGCACAGAGGGAAGCAGCAGCATCTGTTGGACATTGAGCAGACAACTCCTATTAAGTTATTTGGACTTTACTGCTTAACAGATGCGGTCTTTAAGTGTTTCTTCTGGACTAAGGATGCTGTAAAGAAAATTTCTAGGACATGATGGTCCATGAACTGAGAAATTCTTGGAACCTTTGACCTAGTAGATAACTGGCTGATGTTAGTACTTTGTATCTAAGAATAAAGCGTGGGCTCTCATAGTAACTTTGTGCATCTTGGCAGTGACCAGGTTTTTCACCAACTGGTCCATTTTTAGGAGTGCTAGTCAAGTCTATCATTGAATGCCACGCTACTGGAATTTGATCTTTTTCTCTTGACCAGATTGGAGTTATGGGTTAGGAGAGAGAGATCATAGAGGTTAAGTGTCATTCTGATCACATTATATCAAGAGCACATATCATCGATGTGATTTACGGCTGTGGATGCCGACTTTGATCAGCTTGGGCGGTGTTCATTGGGTTTCTCCATGATAAAGTTATTTTTTCACCTCCTTTCCATGCAGTCCTCATTGGAAGGAAGTCACAATGTC